TAGCCCAATACCATCGTTTCAAATAAAAGGACATCTTCCATGACTTAAATAAGGTCCTTATTACCTTACTATTCCCAACATGCCTTCAATAACAAATTCAGTGATGGAGTTGAGATTTTTCTCCTTGTGTATTTTTGCTTGCTATTCAGAATTATGGCCCCAGAATAGCATTGTGCTTTCTCTTCCCAACGTACAGTGTCGAGTTATTTTAGATTCAGTTCAAAGCAAGCTAAGCAAGTCTACTTTTGGCTCAACCACCTACTGACACAGATTCACTCAAAAAAAAGAATTGTACCTTATGCAAGTTGAAAAGAAAACAAAATTACGCATGAAGCAAAACTCACACATCACCACAGCCCGTATATACAGCATTGCACTTAATGTCATGTACATCATCTACAATTCTTTTTTCACAGTATAAAACATAAAATTCACTCCACTGTTAAGGGCTATCACAATGACTTATCACTAAATATGAAACACTCAAACCATGTTACATTGTACATGCAACTTAGATTGAACCTTTACATCACTGTCAGTTTCACTTAAAAGCAAACAAATAGGTATCACTAACAGAGATAATCTTCTCAGGAAAGCACACTACTCAAAGTAATGTTAACCTGATGTGCTCTAATAAAACTAAAATTAAAAAAAAAAAAAAAAAAAAAAGAAAGAGAACCAACTTTCTGATTCCAGTTCCTATGTAACAATGAAATGATGGAACAGCCTCTGACAAAGGATTAGAGCCTAAAGAAATAATCCTTTTAGGATATTAAAATAAAACTAAGGATCAAAGGACAAAAATAACAAGTAAATTACTCTGTAGTGTTTGATACAAATAAGTAAATGTTGATGTTGCAAATATTCAACGCATTCTTTACAAAAGCTTATATATTACTTGATTAATGAAACATCATCTTCATAATCTGAACAAGGTCATATGGGCAACATTTCTTCAGTCAAATCCTACGTCCTAGTATTTCAGGTAGCCATGTCATTGAAACCTCTAAGCTCCACCTAAAAAAAAACCCACCCATTTCCTTTACCCATTATTGGAAGGCTGTTTAAAACTTCACTCCTTCCATTGCTTAAAAGCCTTCTTTAATTTCCAAACTAAATTTATATTTTGCTAATTTATACTTGTGTTTTCTTACACTAGTATAAACTCAGTTTAGAGAGCTTGGGTACTGGCCCATTCTGTCCATAGCAGTGTGCCTGCGGAAAGCAGCCATGTCCTTCCTCAGACTTCTATGCTAGTCTGAGTCTTACATGCTAGCCTGCAAGCACTTCATTGCAAGAGGATTACAAATTCCCCACATCCTGAACCAGCTCCCATTCCAATTAAGTCTTTTCAGCACATCAGGAATCAGAATTGTATACATAACACAGGATGCTGCCAGTGTCTTGTATGAAACGAATAATTGCTTTCCTCTCTTAGATCTGCTTTCTGTGATAAATCCAGACCCAGGATATATCTTTTTCATGGCCACATTACTCTGGCAGTCAGGAACCATTTTGCAAGGACACAATACCTCCAAATCTTTTTGCATCTACATCTCTTCAAATTGACAAGCTCCCATCTTACATACAGAAATTCTTACTTCTAATCCTTTTAACTTTGTATTATTATACTTTATCCCATTCTACCACTCCAGTATCCCAAGTATAAAATTCTTCTTGCACAATTTTCTGACCCCTGTCATAACAGTCCTCCACTTTGTGACCTAAATTTCATTATAATCCAGTATCTTTTTGTGACAGTTACTACTGAAAAGACCCAAAATTAATAACAGATGTAATCCACTGCACTAATAGTGTTTCTCCTCCAGCCTAATACCCTTCCTTGCAGCACAAGTCACTGTCGTTTCATCCCTTCAGCTACATCCTTTTCCAATGAATGATTCTATTTTTCATCCATGTTTTCCCTAATTCAATTTATAATTTTCTATATGCCAAGAAAATGTTGAAGGGAAGTCCAGATACATAGTTTCTCCCAAACTATGTGTCATTAGGAAATTTACTTTCCTTCATTAAAACAGTTCATCAGTAAACCTAGAATAATCCAGATCAAACAATCTTTGGCAAACCTGTGTTGCATTTATCTCATTTTCCATTTTAATCTAGCTCTACTTTGTTAATTGTCATTTCTTTCAAAATTTGTCCCCAGGCTTTTCATACTACTGTGATCAAGCCAGGGCTGGTAATTATTTCTAATTCTAGCATTCATCTATACTAATCCCAAGAGACTTTATCCAATTTAGTTTCAAACTTCTTCAAATATTGACTGGAAACAATTTAGAAAGCATTTCATTCATCCATAACTTTTAAATTAGCTTTATTAATATACCAATTATATATATTATTTTCTTCAACCAGAGAAGAGCAACCCATTCACAGAACATGTATTGATGTTTGTATTCTCAAAGTATCAGAAAGGAAGTTCTTTTAGTTTTCAATTCAAGTTCACTGATTTAGTTATATAATTTTATTTTCCAATCCATAAAAACTATCCCCTCCCTGCTTTTTCCGGAACAAGGACATAGATTTTTAGTATTCCATATGTATACTTAATTATTGTGTAAATTCTTTTTTTCTTCTTAACTTCTATTCACAGGTATCACAGGACATAAATAAACATAACCATGAGACTTGCTTACTATTTACTCCTACATCCACACCTTCATCTTTACTACTGTTTCTGTAAAAGTGTAATTTTATATCTGCATGGATTGCTCTAGGCAATTTGGGTCATTTTCTCTTCATATACTCCCTTAAAATTTTACATAAATAAATATGAGCTGCTCAGCTGATACAATCAGCAGTTGATACTCAAATTAAACATTTTCTTAATGGAACTCACCACCCTTTTCAATTTCATTGCAAGTGGAGACTTATTCAATACTGAAGCCTTCGCATACTATAATTTTGGATCTTCACCACAGAAAACAACCTGGCAGGAAGAGATGGTACTGAGGGACTTCCTTAACTATGTGAAAGCTACAGTCCCACTCATTTAATTTGGTTAGAAAACAAAATCATAACCAGCAAGAACAAACTTAGGAGAAAGACGCGATGCAATTTATCCTTCCTGAAATTTGCTTTGAGAGATTCTGCCACTGAGTGTGGAAGCTTGATGACCTTTCAGACTTACAGAACTTACAAAGAAGGTAAATTACCATGAGTTGAGGAATTAGAGTCTAAAAGCAAGATTATCAACTTGAGAAGAATCGTCTTAAGATGCACTTAGAAGCACCAGAATAGATATTACAGTACAGATGCAGAGACTTTTTTCCATTTAACTGCATAAAATTTTATAGCTGAAAACAACTACACAGAATTTTGAAGTGAAAACACAAAGAAAGAAGGGCATAGGAAAAATAGACAAACATTCAGAATGTCCAGTAAGCAATCTGTTATGCCAAATTTCTTCCTTTTGGAAGTCAATACTTAATTTGTTCAAAGCTTCAGAGGTAGCTGTTCTGTATAACTAATTTTATCATACAAGCATAGGTAGTGATTACTGACACAACCAACATAAAGTCTACAAGAAAAGATGAACACATGTAGATTATAAACTGAGAGCTGACTGACAGCTCCAGAGTTGCTGTATTTGAAAGCCAAGAAGCAGCAATAAATTCCTTAAAATGACTGATGATCAGTGAAGACATGACAGAAGTTGCCAGACCAAGGTCATTACTGTTTTTTTGAAGTGCTTAAGAAGCTGTATAGCAAACTGAAGCTGAGAGAACAGTAGGTGTAACTTCCCATCTTCCTTACAAGTCTAAAATCAAAAACCTGCAAGAAAGTAACAAAAGAATGTATGTACTTATTCCTTTCACAGAATCATAGACTGGTTTGAGTTGGACAGGACCTTAAAGCCCAACCATTCTCACTCCTCTGCCCCGGGCAGGGCCCCCTTCCCCCAGCCCAGGGGGCTCCCAGCCCCGTCCAACCTGGCCTTGAACCCTTCCAGGGAGGGGGCAGCCACAGCTGCTCTGGGCACCCTGGGCCAGCGCCTCACCACCCACACAGGGAAGGATTTCTGCCTTAGATCTCAGCTAAATCCACCCTCTTTCAGTTTAAAACCTGTTACCCCTCATCCTATCCCCACACCCCCTGACCCAGAGTCCCTCCCCACCTCTCCTGTCCCCCCTTTAAGCCCTGGGAGGCCGCTCGAAGGGCTCCCCGGAGCCTTCTCTTCTCCAGGCTGAACCCCCCCAACTCTCTCAGCCCGGCCTCCCAGGGGAGCTGCTCCAGCCCCCCCAGCATCTCCGTGGCCTCCTCTGGCCCCGCTCGAGCAGCTCCGTGTCCTTCTGCTGTTGGGGGCCCCCGAGCTGGCCCCAGCACTGCAGGGGGGTCTCACAATAGAGGAATAGAAGGGCAGAATCTCCTCCCTCAACCTACTGGTCACGCTCCATTTGATGAAGCCCAGGATGTGGTTGGCTTTCTGGGCTGCAGATGCACATTGCTGGGTCATGTTGAGCTTCTTGTCAATCAACACCCACAAGTCCTTCTCCACAGGGCTGCTCTCAACCCCTTCTCTGCCCAGCCTCTTCCTCCTTATAACTGAAATATTCTATTATATACCAATTAGAAGGGCACAAAATAAAACATAAAATATCATTTAAGCCTAAGAATCTACTTGTTAACATGAGGGTGGTCAAACACTGGAACAGGCTGGGCAGGTTAGTGAAGTCTCCATCCCCAGAGACTGGACACAGACCTGAGCAACCTGCTCCAGTTAACTCTATTTTCAGCAGCAGGGTTAGACTAGATCTCCAGAGATACTTTTCCAAGTCCGCTACTCTGTGATTCTGTGAAATAAACAGAACTCCTCAGCAATTTTAACTTAACCAGCATTTTTTTACAGCTTTAGGTGTGAAAAAAAATAATTTCTTAAGTGTCTAACATGCAAATGTATAATGTATATTATCTTTGACATAAACAGCAGTAAATTTTTAAATACCATAACTTCATAACATATCTGAAGAACAGCTTACCCTCTCCATGATAGCAGGAAATAAACACAACTTCATCATGGGCTTGGAGACTAACAAGTGATTACACTAGTCCAGCAGCCAGTGAAATTAATAACTGTTTAAAAGAAAAAATAAGGTCTCTTTAGTGTCACATTCTATAAGAACATCTTCCTTCTGATTTGCCCTTGTATCATAACATTGAGAAATAACTTAATTCTTCATCTTAAAGTATCACATTTTCTACTTTTTATTTAACTAATTATGGACTTTCCACAAAGACCAATTACTTCATCAGAATATTTTTAATTACCATCTTTCATTATACCTAGATTAGATACAATGTGATCTAGCAATCAAATAATTAAATCAAAGAATATTTTAGGCTCTGTATTGATTTAGTGAGTAACTTGTACAAGCCAGCCTCACCAGGCCCCCATTTCCCTTGTTAATATTTGCCAATCCCAAATGATGTTTGAAGTTGAATTCATTAATATTTACAGATATTATCAAATCTGCAGCTGAAAGATGTGATAAATTGTGAATGCAAGATAAAAATCTGCATAATCAATTGTAATTCAGCTATTTAGCAGTTTTGTCAAGTAATTGTTTCCTCATCTCTAAGCATTAGTCCATGTTCAAAATACCAGCCAAAACTTTGAAATTAAAAAGAAAAATCAATGATGGAATATTTATTTTTAATATTATTATTTATCTTTCATTTATTTCTAACCCTAATTTTTTAAAAATTAATAGAAGAGTATCATGTATATTCTTTCATGTATGTTATGGTTTATTAATAGTATAAATATGTTAAGGAAACCTTACAAAGAAAATTAATTTTCTCTTAATTACAATATTAAAAGTCACTAGAATAACCACTTAGTGCAACTGGAGATATGGAGAAAATAATACACAAATTAAATAGCCCTTTAAAAGAATGCTGTAGCAGAGGAATACACTCCCATAATTTCAAGAAAATTCCTGCTATCTTGCAAAAAACATAGACTCGCTTCATAACTTCTTAACCTAAAAACATAATTCAGCCCTCATAACAAAATCCTTCTTTGTTCATTTTGGTATTTATTAGAGACAACATACACACGAGTTCTTCCAAGCCTTGACTTTTGTGAATTCTAGTAATACCTTTGGATGCATATAGATTTGTACATTTCAGCAGTGCCCTCCATTCTTTTTGACAGACAGTACTGGGAGGGGGAGGAGGGGGGCAAGCAGGAAGCTTATGCTTATTTTCACCATCATTTTAATGCTTCTTTAAGATGACTGGGTCAGGTCAGCCCTCCCAGAGAAAGAGAGACAGTCCGCATTGCTTGGAGAGATCCTGACTATGCTCAGGTCCAGGAGGTTCAAGAAATTGTTCAGTATGGCAGTTGAGAATTCCAGTACAGGTGTTTGCAGCCCAAGCAAGGAAATTACAGTAAGGAGCAGGCTACCTGACCTCACACGTCATGGGAAGAACTTCCAGCAGATCAGAGGGCACTGTGAGGTTCACAGTTTCTAGTCACTGAAAACTGTAACCCAGTGGAAGCAACAGTACACTCACAATAACAATGTGGGCAGGGAAAAAATTGTTAAAAAAAAAGTTACTTTTCTTCTGTCTTCCCTATTCACTCAGTTTGCAATACTTAAAATGTTAATTATCCTAACTGTTATTCTAATAAAACTTGTCACTTTTTAAATTAAAAAACATTTGGTCTCCTTTGAGGAGCTAATTATAAGAAGAAAGCCTAGCAGAACCACATCAAAATTATGGCCAACTCAGGGTCCCATGCCCCTGTAGTTATTAAATTTATTTCTAAAAGAGAAAAAAAAAAAAAAAAATCAATGGAGAACAAAATTTAAGTGTTAATACTAATCCTACTTCAATTATATATCTTCTGGTCAGAGATCAGGAAAAAAAAAAAAAAAAAAAAAAAAAATCCCAGAACATTAAATAATTCTAATATAACCGACCAAACATTCTCAAAATTCTGTTACATGAACACCTCATGATTCAGTTATTACAATGGCAGTGGTTCAGAGACATCCATAACCACAGCACCTGGGGTTTTTAAACTGAAGGTATACACAGAACACTGACCTTAAAACAGTTGAACAGGGCTTAAGAATTAATCAGAAGAAAGAACTTTTTAAAACTAGGTAAGACATATCAACAATAAGAACACATACCATTTGAAAATAGTAATTACAACTTTGTTTTATATACAGTAATAAATGTAAGTGCTTACCATTTTTGTAACATATTGCATTTGAAAGCTTGAAAAAAGATACAGTAATTTCAAATTTTTTTGACAATTGATGCACTCTTAAACAAAAGAGGGAATTGTACCTTGAAAGAAAAAGAGCAGCTTGCTTGTCAAATATATGCAAGATTGTCTGTCAAACACTTAGAGAAAAAGTAGCTGCTGATTTTTCTTTTAGAAAGATAAAAGAGTCAATTGCAGAAACAATACACTCCTCCACGGAAATTATATATATGGACTCATTTTAATAAGCAATGGATAAAGCAGTCTTCAATTTTACAGTCCCTTTTAACTACTAAGATAGTACATTAAGCAGAAACACAGCAAAGAAGTTACCTTTTGTCTTATCTGAACTAACCAAATGTCCTTGTAAGATAAAAATTACCTTAGCAAATGGACAGGACAATTATATAAGAGTGAAGGTTTATTTGTTCTTGTTTACTTACTGTATTGACTCCATACAACCCTAATCTAATACAACCACAGTCAAGAATTAATAATAAAAATTCAAACATCAAATCTAACATCAAGCATGACCATCCTCCAGAGTAATAAATTAATAATCTACTGATAGCCCTTGCAGAAACTTCATTCTAAAAGAAAGTAGGAAGAGCGAGAATCTGTGGAAGCAATACAGTAAAAGACTAGACTATGCAAGTGAGCAAGATATAACTTATGTTAAAAAATAAAGGACTTCTGACATTAAATTGCTTCTTACACTTGCAAACAAAGGCATAACAAAAACCGGGGATTGGGAGCTGAGTCTGGATAAATTTGGCTCATTAAGAAGGGGAAAGGAGTTCCTACACCTGTAAGTGTGTAACAGGTAAAGGAATCAGCCATTGAAACAGATGATTTCATGAGGTAACAGATTCTCGGTCACTCATTCACTTTAAACTGCAGTACCAAAAATGCTTACAGAAAAACACATAGTAGTTCAATCAAGAGGTTGAAAAGAATTGGGGCTTCTGCCCTGCATTAGTCAGATGAGAGTTGATGAACTGAAATGTCCCATCCATTTCTTAACTTAGAACTTACTGCGTTCTCAACGGAGCACAGAACTTAATACCCCTAATTCTGTGAAATACTTTGGAGATCAGTAAAACTCTAGAATAAAGAAGGTCAATCCTCTTAGCCCATCAAGCAGCATAGCGAAAGTATTGCCATGGTCAAGAGCCACATAGTACAGCACGTATCCTGAAAAGATCAAGTGTTCAAAAGCTTCCCTGAACAAGACTGGGTAGAACATCCTGCTGAACTTCACTAATGCTGGCTGACTTCTTCCAATACCTGGGCATTTCTGTGAACCAACAGCCCCTGTATCAGCGTGACCCCACCACTGGTCACATGATGTGATTCTCAAGTGGGAGCTGCACTTAAAATGCATGTAAGCTACTGATTTGCCATCGCTTCCCTAGAAGAATGGACCCCAAGGCACTCTAGCATGACCTAGTTAAAATGTATTCAAACATGCTTACTGATCTTGCTAATCTTTCAGACAGCCTTCTAACCACAACAGCCACATTTTTAAATTGTTTTTTTCCCTCCAAAAGCCACAAAGCCTGATTTCAAAACTATGTTCTCCAAATTTTATCAGACAATTCTCTTTAAATCAAGATGAATTTCTCATTAGAATCTTAAAGAAGAAAACGGCTGATTGTCTAACATCACTTACACAACAGTAAGGTAACATCTTTCATACTACAGGTGGTTCCACAGACAAGAAGTCACAAAGTAATGAGATGTTTCCCCTATGGCCAAGATGTTACTTTGTTCCATAGTGTTGCATTAGAATCCAACTTTATCAGAATCAAACACACAAATGTTTTTCCTTTCTGTTCCAGTGCTTTTCTGGGACCAAAGTACAGCTGCCTCTTCTGCTTGGGGGAAGTGCAGCTTCTTAGTGGTAACATAATTTAGATACCTTGGGGAGGTAACAGAGGACAACAAAAATGATGGACATTCCTTAGCTAATACTCAATTTTTCCATTCTTGCTGGTGCTGAAGCTCTCCAATAAATCTTCTTTTCCATCAGCTTACCCATGTCTTTCCTTAATGGCTGCAAACTTCAGAAGCAAGATCAGAAGTAAGATCTTTCTTCTTTTGGCTGGCATCAAAGCAACATGCAAAATCTAATAACCAAGAAACTTAACATCAGCCTGTTCACAACTCAGCTGGATGTTTATAAATCAAGATGAAAAACAGGCAGATGAGAGAGCTGCTGAGTTTGTAATAGTTATGCAAAAATGCATGACACTTGGCAGCCATAAGAAAACTGGAGTGCTATTTGCAACCAGGAGGTTTTGCAAACTCAAAGCATAGTCAAGGCTATGTGGTATTCAGAAGCTGGAAAAAAAGAGTCACAGGGCTGAGCTAAAAGCCTTCCTTGTTACACATGGGAGGCTTGGAGACAGGGTAATTTGACAACTCAGTAACAGAAATGCCAGAATACAAATTTGAGTGGGCCACATCAGGGAAAGAATGTCTGAAGAGATCATTATCTAAATAATCAGACTTGCTTTGTATCACCACTTTCTAATATAAATTGAACTGTGTTTTCTGCAGTGCTTTTATTAGAAAAAAAAAATACTGAAGATGGTAAATGCTACTATTGCCATATGATAAAGAAGTACTTGCCCTAAGTTTAATTCCACTGTGCCACAACAGATGTATCTTAGCCTGTAAAAATTCCCCTTGGCACTCCATTTTTCCTTCAAACAATTCTATTTTCAAACTATTTTACTTTAGCACACAGAACTTTACACACTACAAAGCACAATAAAGAGATCTAGTGAGCTAATTCAAGTATGAGAAGCTATTTACGTCCATTAGCGTATAGGTCCATGCTGCCTAA